AAGGCATCCTCGCATTGGAACTGGCTAGCGCATTTGGAACTGGCTAACGCATTTGTGTAGCCGCGCTGGTGCGCGAAAACTCGCGTGCAGAGCGGGCAGCTGGTTTGGCACAACTCCTGCGACGGCGATGGAGCTGGCCGATGGGAACTTCCCAACGAATCTCAAGAACCGCGGTGCCGTTCAGGCATTTTAGTGTGGGTCTGTGACCCGGGCGGGCGCGATACCATGATGACGTCGTCAGTGGTTGCGACAATGATGATAGCAGCGAAGTTGGTGGCGATGACGAAGATGACGGCGGCAAATCCAATGACGGCGCCCATGCTGGTGACCACGATCACGATGGTGACGTCCATGCGCGGGTGACGAAGGCGAATGATTGATGATGGCGGCACTGGGGGCGATTGACGATGAGGGAGTCGCGGGTAATGCGATGGCGCTGATGAGGGTGATGGTGAGGAGGTGCGCGCGTGCGGATGTTCAAGAAGTCTGGCGTTTATGAACTTGAAGAGCTCTATCTTGAAACGGTTCGAGCACGACTAATTCTGGAAAGAAACACGCGGGTGTGGCGGCGCGCGCGTGCGTGGCCCGCATGGTGCTATTTCATACGCGTTCTTGCACAAGGCGCATGCTGGACCAACGCGGATCCACCGCGTGGTGAAATGATAATGCAGAATCGGGGGAGATTGCTGAACTCATATGGTTTTCACACGACTTCAGCAGACGCGCACGATCAGAGAATCTGCAAGAACTGTGATAACAATCACCCTGGCGAGCGATCCAACCATATGCAGTTGTGAGTAGCGAAATTGTGAGCATCGTCCTCGGTGGAATTCCTATTAGGCCACGAAGCGTGAGTAATGTTCCGAAATGGACATGCGTGGGCGGGCAAACGCATGCGAACCCTGCCATTGGGACCTTCGATGTGGCCACGGAACGTGCGAGGGGTGTGCCAAAGTGGACATGCGGTGGGTGGGGAGCGGCATGCGAACCCTGTCACTGGGGCCATCGGCGGAGCTCCCCTTGGGGCAACGAAGCGTTTGAGGGGTGTGCTGAAATGGACATGCGGTGGGCGGGGAGCCGCATGGGAACCCTGCCACTGGGACCTTCGGTGGAGCCCCCTACGGGGCCACGAAAATTGTGAGGGGTGTCCCAGAATGGACATGCGCTGGTCGGGGAGCCGCATGCGAACCCTGCCACTGGGGTCATCGGTGGAGCTCCCTATAGGGCCACGAAACTTGTGAGGTGTGTTTGTGTGTGTGTGTGTGTGTGTGCGTGCGTGCGTGCGTGCGTGCGTGCGTGCGTGCGTGCGTGCGTGCGTGCGTGCGTGCGTGCGTGCGTGCGTGCGTGCGTGCGTGCGTGCGTGCGTGCGTGCGTGCGTGCGTGCGTGCGTGCGTGCGTGCGTGCGTGCGTGCGTGCGTGCGTGCGTGCGTGCGTGCGTGCGTGCGTGCGTGCGTGCGTGCGTGCGTGCGTGCGTGCGTGCGTGCGTGCGTGCGTGCGTGCGTGCGTGCGTGCGTGCGTGCGTGCGTGCGTGCGTGTGTGTGTGTGGTGTGTGTGTGTGTGTGTGTGTGTGTGTGTGTGTGTGTGTGTGTGTGTGTGTGTGGTGTGTGGTGTGTGTGTGTGTGTGTGTGTGTGTGTGTGTGTGTGTGTGTGTGTGTGTGTGTGTTGTGTGTGTGTGTGTGTGTGTGTGTGTGTGTGTGTGTGTGTGTGTGTGTGTGTGTGTGTGTGTGTGTGTGTTGTGTGTGTGTGTGTGTGTGTGGTGTGTGTGTGTGTGTGTGTGTGTGTGTGTTGTGGTGTGTGTGTGTGTGTGTGTGTGTTGTGTGTGTGTGTGTGTGTGTGTGTGTGTGTGTGTGTGTGTGTGTGTGTGTGTGTGTGTTGTGTGTGTGTGTGTGTGTGTGTGTGTGTGTGTGTGTGTGTGTGTGTGTGTGTGTGTGTGTGTGTGTGTGTGTGTGTGTGTGTGTGTGTGTGTGTGTGTGTGTGTGTGTGTGTGTGTGTGTGTGTGTGTGTGTGTGTGTGTGTGTGTGTGTGTGTGTGTGTGTGTGTGTGTGTGTGTGTGTGTGTGTGTGTGTGTGTGTGTGTGTGTGGTGTGTGTGTGTGTGTGTTGTGTGTGTGTGTGTGTGTGTGTGTGTGTGTGTGTGTGTGTGTGTGTGTGTGTGTGTGTGTGTGTGTGTGTGTGTGTGTGTGTGTGTGTGTGTGTGTGTGTGTGTGTGTGTGTGTGTGTGTGTGTGTGTGTGTGTGTGTGTGGTGTGTGTGTGTGTGTGTGTGTGTGTGTGTGTGTGTGTGTGTGTGTGTGTGTGTGTGTGTGTGTGTGTGTGTGTGTGTGTGTGTGTGTGTGTGTGTGTGTGTGTGTGTGTGTGTGTGTGTGTGTGTGTGTGTGTGTGTGTGTGTGTGTGTTTGTGCCGAAATTGACATGCGGTGGGCGGGGAGCCGCATGCGAACCCTGTAACTGGGGTCCTGGGTGGAGCCCCCTATGGGGCAACGAAGCGTGTGAGGGGTGCGGCGAAATGGACATGCGGTGGGCGGGGAGCCGCCTGCGAACCCTGCTACTGGGACCTTCGGTGGAGCCCCCTGTGGGGCAACGAAGCGTGTAATGTGTACTTGGCATGGACATGCGGCGGGCGGGGAACGCATGGGATCCCTGCCACTGGGACCTTCGGTGGAGCCCTCTATGGGGCCACGAAACGTGTGAGGGGTGTGCTGAAACGGACATGCGATGGGCGGGGAACCACATGCGAACCCTGCCACTGGGGCCTTCGGTGGAACCCCCTATGGGGCCACGAGATGTGTGAGGCGTGTGCCTGAATGGTCGTCATGCAGAGGGCAGAGGCAAGGATGGGAAGAGGGAGGAGGGGGAAGGGTGAGGAGTGCACGCGGGGCGCTGTCTCTTCAAAACGAGAACCCAACAACACAGGATGGCTAGAGAAAGACCGTGACCATTTTCGATGCTTGCATGTTGGAACGCTGGCAAAACGACTTTATGTGGACTGGCTTTGACATGTACGCGTTCGTTTGGGCTTTGTGTTGCGCAACCGTGCACGTAAAATTTGTTGACTAGAACAGAATGGGCGAAAGACGGTTGGCTGGAATGATATGAATTCAACTGGATAGTGAACGATGTGGCAACATCGTATGGAAATTGCAATGCCCTAGTGCGTCAGGTTGAGTCCGCACCTGGGAGGGGACGGTATGTACTTTCTTGTTGGACAGAGAACGGATGTGGTGTCACTTCCGCAACGCAAAGTACGCGGCGCGCGGTGCAACGTACGCGAGGCAAACTGCGTGCCGCGGGATATCTTGAACATGTCATGCGCGTTCGAAATGGTGCAAGCTATGTGGCGCAACCTATGCGGTTCCAGCCACGTGGTGCGGGATACGTGGCAACAAACAGCAGGTTGCAACCTACATGGTCCAAGCGATGTAGTGCGAGTAACCAAATCAACAATAGATTGGCAACTCCACTGCTCGCGTGATCACCTCACTCTTCCATCCGTAATTTGTTCGGCAAAACTCATGCGGCCACGATTGCGGCGAAGGCGACTGCTTGGCGCTGCTGGCGCACTTATCCTCGCGCGCAAACGGCCCACTGGTTTGGCACAACCGATGCGGTAGCGACGGCGCTCACCGATGAGGACTGCTCAGCGCGTCTCAGCGGCCGCGCTAGCGCTTGGGCACTTCAGTCTGGGTCAGTGGCTCCGGCGGGCGCGGTAGCATGATGACGTCTGACGTCGCCAACGGCAGCAACAATGATGATAGTAGCGATGGTGGCGGCGATAATGGCGATGACGACGGCAAGGCCAATGACGGCGCCGACGATGGTAACGACAACGATGATGATGGCCATGTGTCGGTGGTAAAAATGATTGACTGAAAATGGCGGCAACGGCGTCGATTGACGATGGCGATAACGGCGGTGCTGCGGTGGCGCTGATGGTGCAGAATAGCGCGCGCGGAAATGCGAGACACCTGGCAACCTTGTCGAGAAACGTCAGCACGGGCGGGCATGGGACAAAACCTACAAGCGCCAGACAGCGCACAGAGCCGGCACGAGGCGAACGCGGGCGCGAGACGATCACGGACGGAGACCTGGCGAAAACAAAAAAAACAGCCCACGCACGGAGCAGGCACAGAAGCGGGAACGGGCGGACACTGCTTGGGGAAGGCGAGGAAGCGTCAATTTCTGCGTTCATTCCTGACTCTGCTTGCCCTACACTTTCCGGAAACCTGCACACGTACAGGCAAGTCTCCATTGCCGAGATGTGCAAGCCGTCGCCGACGACGACGACGGTGACGAGGACGTCTGGGAGGCGAGGAGCCGAGCTGCCAGCGACGATGGGGGGGAGCGATAGAGGGGGGAACAAGCTCAAAAGGGACAACATCAACCTGGAATCGGCGATACATCGCCAACCAACAGGCGATAAGTTCTCGAGTCATCATTAGCCCGTTCCAGTGGGGGTGGGCTACCAGGCCCTTCTCGGCGATGAATCGGCGATGGGGGGTCGATGCATGACCCCCTCTGAACTATCCCCCCCCGCCATGCCGCCCGGGAAGGGGCGTGCCGCTAGCGACGAAAGCCCCGCGCACGACGCTGCGGCCCGCGCTGCGCGCCCGCGCCCGCGCGAGGGCCCCGGCGACTCACGGGCCCCGTGGAACTCTGCCACTGGCCGCGGCTTTCCTGCGCGTGGGGTGCGGGCTCATTTTTAGTTCAAACCGTTGGGGTCGTTTTCATTGGTGTGTTTCTCGTTCACGTTGTGCAACTTGGCCCGGAGAACTTCCAAGGAATTCGAACGATACATCGCAATATGCATCGAGAGGCATCCATGCGTGGCTGGCCCCTATGTTCGTCCTTCTTATCGTTCTCCTCCTCCTCTCCCTAACGCGCCTGATGATCCCCCTCCCTCCTCCCTCCTCCCGCTCCTCCTCCTCCTCCTCCTCGCGGTTATCCTCCTCCCTCGTGCCCTCCCCCCCACCTCCTCCGCCCCCTCCTCCTCTTTCGATTCCTCCTGCCGACGAATTTTCGGGTGCAATCCTTTCCTCAACCCACTGCCTTTGCTATGCCCTGCGCCAGTGATCGGAGCAACTCGTCTGAGCATCGTTGCTGGGCGGCCTGGTAAGCAGACGCGAAGCGCGAACTCTTCACTCCTGCGAGGAAGTCACCTAAGGTGTTTCAGCACGTGCGATTGCTGACCGCTTGCATTCACAACCCCCGTTCGGCCATCGGGGCACGGCCTGCCCCTACGTTCAGGACAGCCGCGGGCTGGGGGTGGGCCGAGGTTTCGAAGAATTGTGCCAAAGGCAAACCCCAAAGTCCCCGACGCAGTCGCCAACGTTACACCTGTAGCCCAACATGTGTCGAGATACTAATTACCCCCCCTCGCGTGCCTCGCGCCCCTCTGCGCGGGCCCGAAACGGCTCCGATAATCCACGGAGACTCGCGAGGATGTCTCCAAAAGGCCGGAGCGGGGAAGTGGGCGAGGAGGAGAAGGAGGAGGACATGGAGAACTGGGACGCGGCGGGCTGCGCGCAGTGGCACTTCAATTTTGCCAAGACGCGCTGCGACGCGTCTGCGTCCCAACCAGATCGTGTGGACATCGTTTTCTGGGTGGGCTTGCGTGCATGCGCGCAGAGCGATACAATCATTGTCCCCGGCAATACAAGGCTGGACCCTGTTCGCAGCAAGCTTGAATAATAAAACTAAATCGCGAAACACTCAACCTTCCCTCAGCCGTGACGAATGAAAAACCTGACTAACACTAACTCACCCCCCTGGAAAAATAAATAACGATTCCAACGGCGCCACACGAGGGGGGTCTCTCGAACAACAACAACAACAACCCAACTTCAAACACAACACCTCGCACTGGCGGAAAACAGTGTGTGGCGGCATCCGCGTTTTGGCATTGACTGCCCCCCTGGCAAATCACTCTGGCTTGACGCGACGCAAGTCGTTGGACAGGGGCCCAAACCACCCCCAGAGGCCATATATTCCCGAAAAGCCCCCCACATGCCCCCAAGATGGCCCCACAAGGCCCCCAGAAGCCCCCAAGAGGGCCCAAAAGGCCCCCGACATGCCCCCATACGGCCCCAAGAAGCCCACCAGAAGGCCCCATAAGCACGCATACAGGCCCCGAAAGCCCCCGGGAGCGTCTTGGAAACCATTGAAACCATATGGCGCCTTCTTTGGGGAATATCGCGGCCCCTTGGGGCCATCATGGGGCCTCCAAGGCCACACTTTGACGATTGTGGTGTCCTTATCTGGCCGTCTTGGCCCCCCCCGGCTCCCGCTTCCACTATTCATGGGGCCTGCCAGAACGGTGGATTTTTCGAATGTCCCCTGAATAATGGAACCCCCCAAAAGGCACATTTTCTGGACGCCCCTCCGGGCGGGCCGGGGGTGGCTTTTTCGTGCGCAGGCCAATGAAAATCATCCCAGTGCGACCCTACCTAGGAGTTGGAGCCTCTAGGAAAGCCGTGCTAGCATAATATAGCATAGCGCAGCAGCAGCAATAGTGGATGCTGTGCTGCGCTATGCTATGCTATGCTATGCTATGATGTGCTATGCTCCGCTCTGCTATGCTATGCTCTGCTCTGCTCTGCTATGCTATGCTGCGCAATGCTATGCTGGGCTAGGTTAGGCTAGGCTAGGCTAGGCTATGTTATGCTATGCTGCGCTATGCTATGCTGCGCTATGCTATGCTATGCTATGCTATGCTATGCTTGTGTTTTGCCTTCGCTTTTGCCTTCACGTTTGCCTTTGCTTGTGCTATTGCTTGGCACCCAGGGAGCGAAACTGGGGGAACCGCACGTTTGCTTTTACCTTTGCTGTTGCTTTTGCTTGGCTCCCAAGGGACTGGGGGAACCGCCCGGGGCGGTTTGCACTGCCCGGCCCCTTTAAGCCAAGCGAGTAAGAACCCTTCTAGGCAGAGCCTAGGTAGGGAACAAGCCACGGCGACGCGCCAAAAAGTGTTCAAAACAGGAGCGAAAGCGGCGGGCCCCCCGAAATCTCAAAAACAAATGATTTCCGTTACTTTTTCTGGAATAAGTTTTGGGGCCTCCTGGGGGCCTCTTGGGCGCTCTTGGGGGCCTCTTGGGGGCCTCTTGGGCCGCTCTTGGGAGCATATTGGGGGCCTCTTGGGGGCCCTTGAGGGCCTCTTGGGAGCCTCTTGGGAGCCTTTGGGGGACTCTTGGGGGCCAGAGGGGTCAAAGAAAACACAAACAATATTGGGGCTCTCTTGGGGGCCTCTTGGGGCGCTCTTGGGAGCGTCTTGGGGGCCTCTTGGGGGCCTCTTGGGTGCCTTTGGGGGCCGCTTGGAACCGTGCGAGCAGCAGCAGCATGGAGCAGCAGCAGCATGCAGCAGCAGCAGCAGCAGCAGAAGCCGACAACTGACAAATCGCGCGCAAGCAGACCCCCCACTTGGGAGAAATGACGGGGGGTCCGATCGAAATTGACCCCCCTGGAACGATGAATAACGGCGGAAACGCTCCACCACTAACACCATCCCCCCGTGGACGACTGAACCGGCTCGAATGCACTTACCGGGTCAACCCTTCATAACCAGGGTTGATGTATAATCCCGACAGATCGGAGTCATTGCGGGCCATCGCGTCCCCAATAGCATATTCGATGCTGGAATTCGTCCTGGGCGGTGGACTGGCGATGCTCAGGCTGAAACCTAATGCAAAACAGGCCCCAGGAGGAAAACAACATCACAATTTTCTACAGTCTGTGCGCGTGCTTGAAGACGCAACCTGCGCACGGTGAGGATTTGCCGCACTACAGGAATGCCCACTGGGGCGTTGGTGTCTCCAGGATGTAGGCTTTCTGACCAGGGCGGCTCCAATCTCAAACAATTCGGAAACCCAGCCCCAAACGCCCTCTCCGATCATTGAGCCCGCGACGAAGACACGACCAAGTCTATTTGGTATCCTGAATGCGCCCCCTCCCCAACCTCCCCAACAGGAGAAAATAAGACGCACCACAGAGCCAATCGTCATGGGCATTGGTGCCGACACTGTGCACACCTGGATGTCCGAGACCGCATCGGGCAATTGCAAACTCTGCGCATCGGCTGGCGTTGGACGCAATGACGCCATGCCGATCCCGAATCTGGCAACGCACAAAGACAACCCGCACACAAACATCGCAAGCATTTCCCGACACAGGCGTTTCAAGCCTGAAGCTAGCTTTCACCCAACTCCACACGACCCCAAGTGCACCATGCAACGCATGCGGTGTGCAGCACAATGGTAACGGTCTGGACGCCAGCGCAATCCATCATGCGAACGGGGGGCGCGACTTGTCCCCCCAGCACGCCCCCCTCAGGCAGCGTGGCATGAGGGCCACAAAAATGTTGGCAACAAAATGTGGTTCTTTTGCTTCGTTCAGCTGGCCGTCCGGGAGGCATGGAGGAGCATGGCGGCGACCGCATAGCTCGTAACCCAAACGCGTGCGCATACTTAATCGGGTGCAGCCCCCCGCCCCTCTAACACCGTAAGGCGTTTACTAAACTCGGATTGTGATACCCAAAACAACGCGGTACAAGTTTGAGTTTGATGTTTGCGACACCGTGGCGTTTGTCATGTGCAAGGCACTACCCGTTCATTTTGCAACGATTCCAAACATGGGGGTATCTGCACACTGGCCCCGTTTCGCCATCCTGCCCCGCCCCATCCCTGTGCTCATCCTCCTCCCCCTGCTGATTTCCATCCGCGCCCGTTCAATCCCTCCTTTTCGCCCAATCCGAAAAAACACGCGCCCCTGGGCCCGCCCCAGGGTTCGCGAGAACGTTGGTCGACCGCGCGGTCACGCATACTGGAGGTGCCCCCCGAGGCCTATCATGGGCGACGTTCTTTCCTGCGACGGACTAATCGCGCAGGCGTCTGGTAGACGGGACGAGGGTTCAAGGGACGGACCGCGCCGTTTGACTCCGAGTTCGGCTCCGAATCGAATGCAACGCGCCCAGTCGCAGGTCAACGAAAGCCCTACGCGCGCCGAGGCTGGCAACAGAGCGCGCCCGGCATTGGACACGTAAGCAAGAGAAGCGCTGCAAGCTCGCGCTCGCAGCCACTAGCGGAGACTTCCTAATCTGGTAAGGCGCAGCGGCATGCGCGGCACATCTGCAGAGGTGGGGGGAGGGATCGCGGACTGGAAGAGGAGGGGTGGAAATCCGAGCTGGGCGTGATGATGCACCCCGCCAATGTGTCCAGTTCGCGCCGCCGTGCCCCCTGGCGCAGCCCCAAGCTGCATACACGACCAAAAAACGCATCGACCCAAGCCCCCGAACGTGCATTTCGAAGAAAGGCAACACGTACTCAGCACGGCCATCGGCCTGGACCCCTGCCCTACCCCCCAGGGCCCCGAGGAATTGCACACGCATGGCGCTGTCACTGCACTGACCGACGCGTCCAGCGATGCGCACAAGAAGCCCGCCTCGTACACGCATGCGTATGTACGGGCACGTCGTTGCGTGAAGCATGTCGCCGCTCGTTGGGGCATGTATGCGCGTTGACGCGATGGGCGGAACAGGTCAGAAACTTAGATGGTGGGCAACTTCCCTCGAATGCACTTACTCGGGTCGAATGGCGCGAGCCAGCAGCGACCCCCGATGCGCTGGCTTCACTGTGCGTCGCGGTGTTTGTGCGCGCCGTGCTTGTCGGGGCTAGCAGGCGGAAGAATGCGCAAACCCTGAAAAACTACGCAACTACAGTCGCTCTCCGACGATCGACCCGCCCTGTCGGCTACGCGACGGGCTTCGCGTCAAACTCCGCCGGGGGCCCCCGCTCCTCCTCGGGAACCAGGTTCCGCAGGAGCGCTGGAAGCCGCCCCTGGCGCGGGAGCATCAGGGGCGGCCCCCCCGGCTCTGCCCCCGGCGGCGTCCGCCGAGCCCTCAGCCTGCTCGAGTTTGCAATCAGGGGCGCCGCCGACGGGCTGGCCCAAGCCGGCGGGCTGGTCAGCAGCGCCGCCAGCTCCAGGAAGCCCCTGCTTCACCGCCATGTTGCTCAACGTACCCTCGAAAGCCCCCACCCTCAAGGACTCGCAGGAAACGGGCGAAACGCTGTGAGGGCCCTTCTTGCGCGGCAGAGTGGCCGCGACAACGGAGGCCGACCCATTGCGTTTCAACTCCGCCCCGCCGCCGCCGCCGCGAGCATCGCCCCGACCTGGCGTCGTCGGCGAATCCGCGGATGCGCCACCGGCGCCGCGCAGGGGGGGGGGCATGGCCGTGGACGCGCCGTTCTCTAAGAACATCGCGTAGATGGAATCGAGGTCGCACGGGGTGCCGTCGACGCGCGCCACGGCCCTACTGCGAGACGAATTCACGCCGATGCTAATCTCTGGGGCCACCGCGAAGGTCGCCCCAAAGGTCCGCCACCGTCAGGGAGTTCAGCGCCCAGCGGTCGGCGGCGACGACGCCGCGCTTCTCCTCCACAATTTTAAATTTTGTGCATGAAATGGCCTTGCCGCGCCCGCGCGGGGGGGGGGGGGGGCGTGGCCCCCCTGGCCCGCCTGCCCTTCTCAATGTTCTTAACCTTCATAAACTCCGCAAATTTAGTAAGACGCTTCTCTTCGCCAATGGGCTGGCCGCCCTGGCTGTCGCTGAAGAATTCGCAAATCTCGTTGCAGAGGGCCTCGGGGGGATCCTCACCGCTGTTTTTGATCAAGCTTTTCACGGTCGACTTGCCGAGCGAGATGCCTTCGCGCTGGCGGAACAACCAACTCTGGCACCGAGGCGGCGTTTCTCCCCACGTGGCAAAATTGCAATGCAACACCGCGTCCTCGAACTTCTCTTCTGGTTGGTCCTCGCTCTCGCGCTTCCCATCAGTCTCCAGCTTCGCGTCGGCGCGTCTATTCGCAGTCTCATCGATGATTCTGCCATCGGTCCCCAAGCAACTTTTTTTATGGAACCGCTCCTTGACCTCCCGCTGGATGCCCGGGCGTTTCGGAGAGGCGCGAACAGGATACAAACAAAAACAATGCCCCCCCCCCCCTCCCCAGCCGGGGCCCAGGGGCGGAAGAAGGGGCCCGCGCAAGAGCGCGGTTTCCGCCGGGCCGAGCGCCCCCTCACCCCGCAATTCCCCGGCGCGCTGCGTGGAAACACGACCTGGGGAAGGGCGCAAATCAAAACCGCCACGAAAGCCCGCTGAGGGCGCCGTTCAGTTTAGCGGCAGAACGCCTTGAAGGGGGGCGCGTTGACCACCCGAGCGCCTCTTGATCACTTCGCATCTGCTCAGGTACGTTGCTTTAGCCTCCAATTCCGCGCCTCTCGCCTGCATCTTCGCCGCCCGCCCGGGCGCAGATGGCCCCGCGCCGCCGCGCCCCCCCGCGGCTGCTTACCCCGCGGGCCGGCGGCGACGGGCTTCGTGCGATGGGCGCCGGGCGACGAACTGCTGTAGCTGAAATGGCAGCGCGGTAAGAAGCGCGTGCCACTGAAACTGCTTAATTTCCTCCAACTCCCTTTCCTCCTTCTCCGATTCCTGGCCCCCCCCCCCGCCCCCGCGGCGCCCTGCTCGTCGCCCTTTACGCGCCGCAGCCTCCCCCGCCAAATGCCCCCCCCCTCCCCCCCCCCCCCCGCCCATGTTCGCGCGCCGCTGGCGCCCGCCACGCGGCGCGATGGAAACATCAGTCTTAGCCGAGCACGCGCGCGCGCATATCCGCCACCGCGCCCTGCGGCGCGCGCGGAGTGGGCGCGCCCGTTGGTTTCCGGGCCCGCGCCTGAAGAGTCGGGCCAGAGCCACATTCCCCGAATCTCTAAAAAGGGGGGCCCAAGCCAACCGGTTACTTCTCGCGTGATTTCGGGGGGGCCATTTCTCGACGCCCCGCGCGAGGATCGCGGCTTCTGAGGGGGCGCTCGAAATCGAACTCTCGCCCTCTCCGCTCACAGAGGTCGAAAACAGCTTGCCAGAAAAGCCCCTGGCGCCCCCAAGGCCCCCCCCTACAGAGCCCCAAGAAGCCCCCCTCGCAGGGCGAGCTTGCCCTTGAACGTGCGATGACTAATTCAACGCATGGTCTCGGGTATCCGCGCGCAGGAACGCGCAACAACGCTGCCTGAAACAAACGATTGCCTGCCTTTCATCTACGCCTGGGGACATTGGCTCGCCGCTATCCGCGCGGAAGCGCGCGCGAGTGTACAAGGCATTCGCCTTCCAACAACATCACAACTCAATCAGGAACAAACAAATATTGCACCTAATCGCGCTCCCCCATTTGCGCCCTCCCCCCCCACCCCGCCCACTACTCCGACTTAGACGAATGCCCTTCTGCTTGCCAGCTGCGCCACTCCTCCTTCAGAGGCGCTGATGCAGACTATGCACGTCAGGCAATGAAGGCATGCCACCTCGCCGCTCATCTTTAAGAGACTCGCGAATGTCGGGGCGCGGCGGCGGCGCGCCGCCGCGGGGGCCGCGCGTGGAAGTGAAACGAACGACCCGCCCGTGATACTTAAAACGATTGAGCTCGCAATTTGCGAAACATGAAACCACCGTTCACTGCGGCGCACGGACGCGCGGGCTTGGCCGACGCAGCCGAGGATATCGCACCCCCCACGTGCGATGCGGCAACCCTTTTCCCCCCGTGGACCCTTCTGTGCTAACGTGTGTGTGTGTGTGTGTGTCGATCTTCGGCTCGAAATCCAAACGAACATCGATTCTCGCCGACTTCACCCATGCCCCCTGTTGTACGCAGCACGATTCCATTGTGCAAACCGAAGGTTTTCTAGCCCCCCCTGAAGGATCCCACGCTCATACTCAGAACGGGCCCATGATGGCACCGAGGAGGAAGGGGGTTATTCCTCCATGGTGGTTTTTACCTGAATGCTATGATATGATATGAGGCGATATGCAATGCTACTGCTTATCACGCATGCGTGTGCTCGGGCACGCGCTCGGAGGGTAGTGCAATCGCAGGGGCCTCGTAAAGGACCCCTCGGGCGACGCACATGCATTGCAGGCTTGCGGAATCGATGCAGCGCCTCACTTGGAAGCGCAGTGCACTCGACGCTGGACTGTCTTCCCCTTGCCCCAAGACCTCAACGCTGCATTATCGCCGTCATCGCCACGTTAATGAATCATGCGTTGATATGGAAAGTAGAGAAGGATGGCGAAGAGAACGTGAGGAGTGCTCGGTGCCTCTTGGTGGCCACTGAAGTTTAAGGGAGTGCCCCGATCACGTTTTGTTACTGAAGCCGATTGGCGGCCACATCCAAATACCAAAATCTGAAAAATACGGATGAAACTGAGTAAACTTCGGGCCACCCCGTATGATGATTCCCGGATCAGAACGGACCCCGACTCCGTCCCTGACCCCCACCACGCCCGACACCCCAAACCTCCTGCCTTTCCTGGGAGCTCTGTTCTTGGGCCCGCCACCCGACAATTCCTGGCCCGGAACAGACCCCGACTCCCTCCCTGACTCCCACCACGCCCGACACCCCCAGCCTCCCGACAGTCCTGGGAGCTCTTTTCTTGGACCCCTCCACATGGCAATTCCCGGCTCGGAACCGACGCCGACCTTTCGACGAGGTGCGGGGAAAGCACCTGGGACCTGAGAAACTCAAGGATACTCCACGGGAGCAATCGTCGAGAACCTCCCGATCAGAGGCGGCCACCCCGTGGGACCTGAATTCCCCTTCGCGACTCGGGGGCACGCACAAGGGGATTACACGACGGGGGGCGGCCTTCTAATTCGCCGGCCCAACGGGCCAGGGCGTGCTAAGATCTCCGGTACCTGGTTAACAGTATTTCTAGTTCGCGCGCGCGGGGCGGCCCCTGGGGGTCCCCAGACGAAAAGTACCCCGACCAGGTCCCGGCCGGTCCCCGGCAAGGTCCCCGGCAAGGTCCCCGGCAAGGTCCCCGGCAAGGTCCCCGCAAGGTCGGGCCAGAGATGCCGGAGCCCTGTTACAGGGCCCCAGGACGGGCCAAGAGGCCCCCAAGAAGCCTCCAAGACGGTCCAAGAGGGCCCCGAGACGGCCAAAGATCGCCCGAAGACGCCCAACAGGGCCCCAAGACAGCCCAAGAGGCCTCCAAGACGCCCCAAGGGCCTTCCAAGAGGCCTCCGAAGAGGGCCCCAAGAGGCCAAAATCGTTGATTTTCATTGTTTTTTTCCGCTGTTTTTTGCGTTCTGGCTTTTTCGGCTTCCGGACGCTCCAAGACGGCCCAAGAGGCCCCCAAGACCGCTCCAAGACGGCCCATGAGGCTCCCAAGACGGCCCCGGAACGGCCCAGGAGGGCCCCCAAGACGGCCCAAGTGCCGCCCAAGACGGACCAAGAGGCCCCAAGACGGGCCCAAGAGGGGCTCAAGAGGGGAACCGAGAACTGAAAAATCGAGCCCTCCGCCCCAGAAGGCGCCCAGGAGGCCCCAAAAAGGCCCCAAGAGGCCCCCAAGAGGCCCCCAAGACGCCCCAAGAGGCGCCCAAGAGGCCCAAAAGAGGCCCCAAGAGGCCCCAAAACGGCCCCCAAGAGGCCCCAAAACTCGGCTAGCCCACAACTGTGCGACAATATGGGCCGGCGGAATGAGCGAAGCGATTAAATAAAGCGGGGTGCGGTTTGCCTCGGAAGCCCCCCCTGCATTATCATAATAATCCTTCGGGCAAGCCTTGGACCCCTCCCGCCTCCATTGACGGACAGCCCCCGCGCGGCCCCACCTCCCCAGCCCCCCTTCCCCTTTCGCTCACTGCCAATGGATGTCTGAACAGCTGGCACGAGGGTAAGATCAACCATAGTTTGGACGGGCACCATTGTTGTGTTCTTCGTGCCTGTGATCCGCCTCGGAGCGTTATTCCTTCAGGGTACCTCGCCGAAGAGGGTAATGTTCTTGACCTCTGTTCTCGCGGCCAAGCTTAGACTGTACATTCGTTTCGTGACGACGTCGACGTTGGTTCCTGACACCGCGTGGGTCGATCGACCTTGAACGATCGGCAACTTTTCGATCGCCACGTCGTTCCATATTTGCCGATTCTGGGCCATCGGCGGCGTTCAACAGGTGAACGCGAGCGCTGGGGTCGCAGCCGCGTTGACACGACACGACCCTGCCAGCAGCCCCCGTCGCGTCGCCGAGCCACTGGGCCGCGACGGCGACCGCCCAGCCGGCCGGCTCAAGCGGGCGACGGCAGCAGCCGGCCGCCAGAGGCGTTCGCCGCCTACGCTGCGGCCACGGCGGCCTGCTCCTCGTGGGGGCAGGCCTTGGCGACATCCCTCCCGGAGAGGCCCGCCGCCTTGCAGGGGGGACGCCGCGGGGTCGTGTCCTGGGACTCGGGGAGTGGTGGACATGGACCCGCCCAACGCGGGCGGGCACAGATCCATCTCCACCGCTCTTCGAGAGCCCAGGGCACGACTCCGAAGCGGTGGATGGACATGATCTGGTGGTGGGGCGATGGAGGGAGTGGGGCCTCGGGGGGGCGCGGAGGTTCCAGGAGGTACGGCGGTTGCTTGGAGACCCTGGTGAAGAGGAGAAGGAGGAGGAAGAGGAGGAAGACGAGGAACGTCGCCTTCGCCCCAACTCTCCCAGTCCACGCGTAAGACCAGTGAAGGTGCTGTGTACCCCACTGCCCCCCAGGAAAACCCACAGCAAACAGACATCCGCAACAACAGAAACAGTCAAATTACATCACAAGGCACAACAACAAAAACAATCAGAAAACAATCAACTGAAAAACACAATCAAAGCGAAAGACAATTTTAACCAAGAACAACTCGCGTCCATCACATCGATTGTACCACCTATCTCGTGCGCCACATCGCTTGCACCACTTACTTTACAATGCATATACTGATATTGTAGATTCCACCTTGCAGCGAGAACAAGATGAAAACTTGATCGGGATTGTCGAGTTCCCGTCGGGGATCAGGATGAGTCAGCGCGATAGGACGTGCCCCAATAGCCATGCGTTCCCGAGAGAAGTGCCAGAGTTGACCTTGGCCCGACTTGCTACCCCTCAGGATCCTTAGTGGTCGGCGGTTTCACGCCGACGTCGTTCCTTGAAGGGGGGCGCGAGTCTCGTCTATCTCTCATAATATATGCGTGTGCCATGATACACTAAGCCCTCAATGCCATATCCTCCTGCAGAGGTTGTATGTTCCTTCACCTCCTGCTCCCTCCTCCCCCCCCCATCCTTCTCATCCTCTTGTTCGGATGCCACTTGTGCACGCGAAGCGGCAGATGGATGCCGAGAGGATGGCACTTGTGCCTCCCGAGGGGATTGCATCCTTGCCACTGGGCGCCACGTTGGGCGCATGCCACGTCATTGCGTCATCCTTTCCAGCAGAATTGCATCCTTGCCGCCTGCTCCCTTGCAAAGGGGTTGCATCCTTACCGCCATCGCCCATTGGTTTCGGCTCTCGCAGGGGTTGCACTGGGCCCGAGCCCATCATGCCAAAACCATACTCATCAGGGGAAACGGGGTGGATTCCTGGATTCATTGTCCGAGTGTGCCTGGGTGCTTTGTCCGAACATCCCCCCAAGAGGGCGAGCAACAACGGCGGGGCAACGAGCAGCGGGGCACCGAACCAACAAAAACAACAACCTGCGTTCGAACGTCCACCTCGAAAAGGCGGGAGGGGTAGGATGTCGACGTGCGCAGCGGCCGTTGAGACGGCGAGGGCAGGGTGCAGGAGGAGGAGGAGGAGGAGGAGGAGGCAGGGGGAACCCAGCGATAAAGAGGAGGATGGGGGGGAGGACGATGAGTTGTTGCGAACGCAAGAAAAAACGAGGAATGGAAGGAGGAGAAGGAGGAGGAAGGTAACGAGAAGGAGGAGAAGAAAAAAGGCAAAGGAGGAGGCTGTACGATTAAGAAACATACGGGAAGATGGTGAGGAGGAGGACCCACGGGAGGAGGAGGGAGGAGGAGCGCAGGGCTGATGATGAGGGGGAGGGGGGGGGGGGGCAAATGGCTGAGGAGGGTGAGCAAGGATGATGAGTAGGACGACGTGTAAAAATTAGCCTGGCGAAGAACCCAACCCCCGATTTTCACGCGGGGCGACTATAAACAGGACCGCTCAATGCACGAAAACACCTTGAAGGGCCGCGAAAATCACTGGATCGTTGCGCCAGAGAATGTCAAACTACTCCCGCCGTCGCCCATTCACGCGCGCACTCTCACGACTCACTTTGGAAGCGAGGACGGCCGCGAAACGCGTGAGAAGCGTGCAGAAATGGCACGAAGGCGCCATGCGGACCCTGCCAAAGGGCCTTCGGTGGAGCTCCCTACGGGCCACGAACCGTGTGAGGGGTGTGCCGAAATGGTCGGGGCGGCCGCATGTGAACCCTGCCACTGGGGCCTTCGGTGGAGCTCCCTACGGGCCACGAACCGTGTGAGGGGGTGTGCCGAAATGGTCGGGGCGGCCGCATGTGGACCCTGCCACTGGGGCCTTCGGTGCAACTCCCTAAGGACCACGAACCGTGTGAAGGGTGTGCCGAAATGGTCGGGGCGGCCGCATGTGGACCCTGCCACTGGGGCCTTCGGTGGAGCTCCCTAAGGACCACGAACCGTGTGAAGGGTGTGCCGAAATGGCCGGGGCGGCCGCATGTGGACCCTGCCACTGGGGCCTTCGGTGCAGCTGCCTAAAAGGCCACGAACCGTGTGAGGGGTGTGCCGAAATGGCCGGGGCGGCCGCATACAGACCCTGCCACTTGGGCCTTCGGTGGAGCTCCCTACGGGCCACGAACCGTGTGAGGGGTGTGCCGAAATGGTCGGGGCGGCCGCATGTGGACCCTGCCACTGGGGCCTTCGGTGGAGCTCCCTAAGGGCCACGAACCGTGTGAGGGGTGTGCCGAAATGGCTGGAGCGGCCGCATGTGGACCCTGCCACTTGGGCCTTCGGTGCAGCTCCCTAAGGGCCACGAACCGTGTGAGGGGTGTGCCGAGGTGGTCGAGGAGGACGGGGAGGAGGAAGGATGGAGAGCGGCGCTGCGAACTCAAAACGAGGGCCCAACACACAGGAGGGTTGGGAAATACACGGAGGGACGGGGGCAAAGATAAGCAGGTTACACATCAAAACGAGCCCTGGCCTTTGAAAAAGGACCGCCCTCCGTCCACGCACTTGTTGCTCCGTGCATGGACCCAATGAGCGTTCCCCGTGGCGTTGATGACTGGATGCCTCATTGGCAGGGAAACGATGCATCGCCCGATAATGTGTACGTTTGTTTCAGTCTCCACGTCATCCTCGGTAACCTTCTTGCAACTATGCCTTGGTCTGCCTTGCCCCAACTCGTCCAATATTCGCCGCACCTCCCCGCGCACGTGGCGCCTCGGCGCCGATGTCAGGGCGGGGTGGCGGCCGTGGACGGGTGGCGAAATGGCCAGCCTCGAAGGATGTTGAGGCCAAGAGCGTTGCCGCAGCAACCTCAGCAAGATGACTGTGTTTCCGTCGTGCGGGCTGTCGTCGGCGCCAGTTCTCGAAGCGTGGCCCCTCGCGACATGCGTCCACACCCTCTCGGGCAGCTGGTTTGCGGCGAGCGACCACCAGCCCCTGAGCACTGCGATTGGCCGCACTGCGAATTTGTGTCTGTCTTCGGTGAACACGGGTCGAATGACGTCCAAAACGTCGGTCGTTCAAGATGCATTTGTTTCGCGCGGGGCTGTCGGGGGAAATCTTACGATGTTGGCCACTTCGATCCTGCATCCGGACCGCCAGGCCCGCCACATCCTCGAGTGCAATATTGTGTCGACGTGTCGCCCGGAAGACATTCTCGAACATGTTGACTACAGCAGGTCGGACGAGACGCCGTTCAAGATAACTCGCAAAGCCGCCTACTATAAGCGACCTTTTGTTCCTGGAGATGCCATTGCTCAGCACGCTTCGCCTGGGGTCCAGCTTGTTCATGCCACAACGATTCCTCTTGTCAAGCATCGCCGCGGCGTGTTCCCCGCAAAGACACTGCAGAACGAACCAGGGTTCGGAATGATATTCAACCACGGCCGCGCCACCTTTAGCATTACAGGTTCCTCGGCGACGATACCACTAATCGTCGGCCGAACAACTGCTGAATGCCTCTCGGCGGCGGAGCTTGACCGAACTTGCGTGAGCAATCAAGCCAGCAACTTCATGACAAAACCCAGGTGCGTCACCCACGATCGTCATCCAGCCAATGACACGTCTGAGCGGGCACTCATGAGGGAGCGCGTGGGGTGGACACTGAGCCGTAACACATGCGAGCTTCGTGTTATCATCGCTGGCACGAAGCACGCGTTTCCGTCTTTTGCCTGGATATTCATAATCCCTGCAAGATGTTCCCACGATGTCTCATGGTCAGTGGGCTTGGCCGATGACATGGGGGAGCAAATATAATGCCGTCAAGCATGCACTGAAATAGCACTGAAAGGAGGAGGCCGGCCCGCCGGCCGACGCACGCGCGCGCGCCGCAGGCGCGCTCCTTTTCGTTTCCTTAGAGCCAAAGATGTAGCTGCAGGTTAAACGCTCAAGTCAAAAAGAGAAGCAGACAGTGCAGCAGACAGTGCAGGCAAGGCTAAAGAGCAAGACGGGCAGCAGGATGGTGGTGCGGACGGAGTGCATTGACTCCCCCCGCGGCGGGGCCCGTAGTCGCCCCGACCCCTAACCCACCTGGCCCGCACATAAGTACAGCCACCAGAGCGAACCCCAAAAGCATTTTACCGCTCAGAGGTGGTTGCCGGGGGGCGGAAGACCGAAGTAAACCGACGTGCGCCGCCCGAACTAATATTTCCCAACTCAAGCCACAATGTCCGCGCACACCTGGTGCATCCGCTTCATGATGAACTATGGACCGGCATCGACAAAGTCATACTGGTCCTTCTTATGCTGCATTATATCTGCCACTCATTCCTCCAATCTCGTGAATCATCCCGAGTGTCTCTGTCGCACCAGTTCCACTGGCATTGATATCTTGAATAGTTGTCATATCTGTCTTCTCTTCTGCTCGAACTCCAGCTGTCTGGCTGATCCTTGCCCTGGCCTCTCGGGCGGCCTCGCCTTCGGCGCAGGTGGCGGCGGAGGCTCTGGCAAGGTACTCGGCTTCCAAGAATCACGATTGAACTTGTCGTTGTGATCGATCAAACTAAACACTTGCCAAGTTTTGGTATGACCAGTGACATTATGGTGGCGAGTTACATGTACATAGTATCCTTGTACTTCCCCATTATCATTCTTGTCCTCGTGGTCCAGCGTCGCGTCCCAGCCGCCATCGCTCGCGCGGCCGCCCGTTTCTACGACGGGCTCATCTGTCCACGACCGGGCCCGATCAGGATCGATCCAGCCAGCGCAACTGCCCGACGCGGCTGGGCCGGCGGGCACGGGAGTATAAGGAGCGGCCCTATGGGAGAGACCCTGCGTTCTTAATTATTGAACGACCCCGACCCTTTCCGATCTGACCTCGGGGCCCTAGACCCAAGCTCCGTGACCTTCTATCCCTGGGGAGTGTTCCTTCCAGGAGATGCGTTGCCCTTCTGTCCAGGGGGATTCCATCGTGGGTCTGATGATCGGGGGCGTGGCTAAGCATTGCGAATTGTGTCGGCTTCTCCGCAGGAGAATCCTGGCCACGTCGTGTTCGACCCCGCTGCGATGAAGAGGGTCATGATCTGCCAACGCCACTTGGGCATCCACCAGAAGGGCTGCCCGCAGAACGGCATCAGTGACGCGCGCGAGCGCGCGAAGGGACCTGAGCAGCGGGCCAAAATGGACCAGGTCGAGCGCAACGGCAACTTGCGTGGCGCCGATGCGAGGCCGCGGGGCTCACCCCAGAGCGTTGGGCACGTCGCACAGCGGGGTTGTAGAGCACATCGTCTGGCGACCGCCGCGAGCAAGGATGAGTGGGAGAAGACCCACGGGAAGAAGATGACGCAGCGGTTCCCCATGCTCGAGCACCCGACGACGATGGCCATGAAGGACGACGGCAACACGGAGTTCGAGATGGCGTGGCTCACCAGGCCTGCGCTGTAGTCAGCGCAAACCTCGCGACGGAGATCAGCGCGCCGCCCATGATGCCATCGGACCGTCACTACTACGGGGACCAGGCGAAGGATGTGGCAGCGGACACGGCCGAGAAGGAGATGCCGCGCCTCAAGGTTTCCTGGAAGAACTTCGCCGATGGCATGAACTCCCTCCCAGCGAGCTTGGTCGATGCGCATGGTGAGCCGAAGCTCCGCCCGCTTGGTTTCACCATGGGCGAGTGGGGCAACGGCGAGGTGGTGGCCATGGGTGCGCCCATGCATTTTACGCCAGGGGCTGCGATGATGAAGAGGCGCGGGGAAGCGTCGTCGGCTGCAGATACTCCGAGAACGCCAGCGGCGCGCGACGGCAATCTGGATCCGATGGAGAGGCTCGCTGCCTTCCTTGTGCAGTCTTGCGCGAGTGGCGCGTTGCCTCGCGAGGGCGAGGGGGGCCCTGGCGACGGCATGATGGCAGAGACGTTGGACGACGCCGGCATGGGCGATGTCGCGGGCGCCCCGAGGCAGACGACAACATTCAACCTTGACGAGCCCGTGACACGCAGCAAGAGGGACGACGCCGAGAGCATGATCAGTTTGGGCTCCGCTGCGTTGGGCGGCAAAGCCGACGCCCAGAAGTACATCGACGCCCTGGACTTGGAGGTCGCCCAGCAATCGCCGAAACTTGGAAATCTGCACCACCACACCACCAACAACTCCCAGAGGATCGGCGATGACAAGACCAAAGATGCGAACAAAGGAGCTCAAGAACATATTGGAACTTTTCGGGCACGCCCAGAGATTCAACAGTCGACATGAGGGGTCTTACACCTACGACGCGCTGGCGGCGTCATACGATACTTTGGTTTCTGCTCAGGTCCGCGTGCCCCCCGTGGCCAACGCCGTCATCTGGAAGACGAAGGTTGACATGATGTTGCAGGCTGATGTCACAAAGGGGTCTGCTTCTGCGATGTTCAGGGCTTGCACTCCGATGCCGCTCCCTGCTTCCATGGACCAGGCCTTCGACGTTCGGACCCCGTGCCTTTCCCGATTGTCGGCCCTCGACGAGTGGTGCAAGATCCGCAGGCTTTACTTGTATTTCTGCGAGTCCTGGTTCCTGCCGAAGCTGGAGTCGGGCTGCCACGAGGAGATCATTAGCAGCACCATCGTGGACATGAGACAGTACATCAATCGAGTGCTGGAATCGTGCCATATCGGCGAGGTCACCGTGAAGTTCTTCACGGGGCTCAACCGCCTGCTGCGGGGCACCCAAGATTGCGCGCGCATCGAGGAGATCTTCGACTGCGGGGAGTCCGAGGAGAGATGCAAGGGCGTCGTGCTGCTCGCCGAGACACGGTGCTCAGAAGTTGCGGAAGACCTTTGCCCTGGCAATCCAGAACCATGAGAAGTGAAGCACGGTTGTAACAAATATCCACATGCACGTCAAATCGCTGGATGGCGTCATCTCGGACTTCGATGAGTTGGTGGAAGAGCTGAGGGAGGGGATCGTCCTCGAGGGCGATGGCGAGGCTGCGTTCAACCTCTCAGACCAGGTGAACAACTTGAAATCGAAGCTGGTTAACGCTGCCAAAATCACGGGCAGGCTGGAACCGTCGAGACTAATGCACGGGACTATCATGAATCGCATCGTCAGCAAGTGCTTGAAGTATGCATCGATGGTCAATGCCAGGGATGCGCCGATGGAACGTGAGGCTGTATCCGCCTTGGACATGATGGGCGAAACTTCCGTCTGGTTCCCCTTCAACCCGGAGCCCAACGCTGCCCTCGCCGAGATCCAGGCAGCGACAGTAGCGGCGAGCGAGGCCGAGAGCACCCAGCTGATCACCACTATCGTCATGGAGATGCAGACAGAGTGCGATAAGGAGTCCGCAGTTTTGACGGTGGAGCTCGTTCAGAAGCTTCATGATTGCGCAGAGAAGCTGAGCGACAACAATCGTGAGCCTCCAGAGCTCGAAGCTGTTTGAAAACTCGCACCCTTCATGGTTCACGCCGCGGCGAAGGGCGAGTTGAAGCAGGATGTATGCGACGCCATCGTGCACGCGATCGAGGTGATCAAGAACGTGTTTGCTTACCAGCTTGCGGGGAACTCTGCGTCGAGCAATTTGCTTGTCGACGTCGGCAGTGCGCTCGCGGCAGTCTCGAACCTGGCGTGCGCTTGCGAAGCAGTGGAAACGCACTTCAATTGGGACGGGGATGCCGAACCAGACTTGACGGCGATCGCTCGCGCAGACCACCAGTCCAAGTCAATCACCCACGAGTTCAACCCTGCGAGGGTGAAGTGGGACGGCCTCGTGAACAAGGGCATCACTTCGTCGGGGCACCGTGAGCACCCAGGCATCCAGGTGCTCGTCTTCGCCGCGGCCGAGCTCAAGAAGGTGACGGGCATCAAGCTCGAGAGCGCGGGCGAGAAGATCAAGCGATGGAGAAATTCCAGGCCTTGAAGCGCAACTGCGGCGGGCTACCTGATGCGGAGTGGGAGTGCGGGTTTGAAGGGAAGTCCTTCAAGATGTCGCAGGAGCATTGCGACGAGACCCTCCTGGGACAGAACTCGACGGCGGGCGGGCTGAAGCAGGAGTGGACGGCGCTCGAGAAGGATTTGAATGCCGGGGTGTCAAGTTTTCGCGAGGTCCGATGGGTCCAAGGTCTTCCCTGGGCTCGGGCGTGTTTGATTAAGCGAGTATTGAGTGATCCCTGCCACGCTGGACCCCGTCAGGGTCTGCGCATCCAATCGGGGCGCGCCTGGGGCTCCGAGGGTTGGTCCTGGGGGGAAGTTCGCGACAGTTTTGGGGGGCAGTCAGGGGAGCCTGAAGGCGTCAGCCTCGACATGTAAGAGCCATGGTGCGAGTTATGGGCCAATGTTGGCTTGTGTATGTTTGTTAAAGCATGTGCGTTACCGATCACACTGGTCCATTGAGAAATCTATGTTAGCCAGCGTGGACCCTTAACAATAAGCCCTTGCCCTTGCAGTCCATGCGGTGTCATCTATGTGGTGCAATGCATGCGATACAACCTATGGAATGCAGCGTATGCGATGCAACCTATGCAATGCAGTCTACGTGGTGCAATATGGGCGGTGCAACCTATATAGCGCAGTGTATGCGATACAATATATGTGGTGCCATTTGCGCGCGGCAATCTACGTAGTACAATATACGCGGTCCAATCTATGTGGTGTAATCTATGTGTTGCAACCTACGCAGTGCAATTGACTACCCTGCACCGCGCCTGACCACCTCCACTGCTCGCGCAAACATCCCACCCACCCGCCCGCAACTTGGTGTGCAAAATCTCTTAGGACCGTGACGGTGGGTACCAAATGTCACTTGGCAACGACAGCGACGCCGACGACGACAGCGACAACGACGACAACGACGACGACGACGCCGCAGACAACGACTACGACGACACCGGCGGCGTCTCCAACGACTGCGACGACGCCGACCACGACGACGACGACGAGACCGACGACGACGACGCCGACGACGACGACGACGATGACAACGACGACGACGATGACGACGCCGACGACAACGACAACGACGACACCGACGACGACGACGTCAACGACGCCGACGCCGACGACGACGACGACGACGACGACGACGACGGCGGCGACGACGACGACGCCGACGTCGACGACGACGAAGACGACGATGACGCCGACGCCGACGACGACGACGAAGACGACGACGACGTCGCCAACGAAGACGACGACGAGGAAGGAGGGAGGACGACGACGACGTCAACGACGACAACGACGACAACGACGAGGGAGGAGGGAGGCCGACGACGACGCGAACGACGAAGAAGGAGGAAGGACGGCGACGCCGACGACGACAACGAGGGAGGAGGGTAGACGACGACGACGACGACGACGACGACGACGGCGACGAAATAGGAGGGACGACGACGAGACGCCGACGACGGACGACGACGACGACGACGAGGGAGGAGGAGAAAGGACGACCACGGCGACAACGACGGCGGAAACGACCACGACGCCAAAGAGGACGACGACGACGAACACGAGGAAAGACAGAGGACAACGCAGGCGACGACGACGACGACGACGACGCAAGAGGAAGGAGGACGGCGACGACGACGACGACGACGACGACGCAAGAGCGCGCGCGCACGCTTTTGTTGAAAATCCGTGTTGCGAAACCTTGTGTTTTTGTAGGTATTTTGGACATACGATTTTGAAATCCTTCCGAAACCGATGGCTTTTGAAGGATTTCGGCATACGCCCGCGACGACGCGCGCGTCTGCACTTCGTCCCTTTTTTTGCAAAAGGATTCTCGCGATAGCACACGCGCAGGGGCATTCGACAGATTTCGACATGCGCGCGCGAAGCCCGTTTGGTAGCATGTGGTGAAAATATTGAACAACCAATGGTTTTTCTTAAGATTTCGCAAGAGCTCGCGCGTAAGCTGTTTTAGCAAATAAGTGTTGCGAAACCATATGATTTTGTGTTGATTGGACACTCGATTGCGAAACCCTTCCGACACCGGAGGTGTTCGAAGGATTTCGGCAGGCGCGCGCGACGACGCGCGCGTGCGCACTTCGTCCCGTTTTCGCAAAGGATTCGTGAAAACTTCTGATTTTTGATAAACGGGTGCGCGCGCTTAGTATTTTTTTTGCAGAGGATGGCGGGAGGGACCGATACTGTCTCCCCTGGGATCGTGTAAATCCATATTTAGGATAGACGTGTGGTCATAATCATATCTGATTTGCATACCCGAGAGGGGGGCGGATAACGCCGGGGGGAGGGATGGAGTGTATTCTTTTGTGAGAAAGGAGAATTTACGCGCGGCCACCTGTGTAATGCAATGCCTGCTGTGCAATATGTGCGGTGCAAATCTATGTGGTGCAATTAATCACTTGCTCAACTTGAAGCTGTCCTCTCCACTGCTCGCGCAAACATCCCACCCTCCCACCCGCAACTTGGTTTGCAAAACCATTTCAGACCGACTACGACGACACCGACGACAACGACGACGACGACACCGACGACGTCTCCGACGACTTCGACGACGACAACGACGCCGACGCCGACGAAAACGACTACGACGACGCCAACGAAGGCGACGACGAGGGAGGAGGAAGGACGACGACGGCGACAACGACGACAACGACGACAACGACGAGGGAAGAGGAGGGACGGCGACGACGCGAACGACGACGAAGAAGGAAGGACGGCGACGCCGACAACGACGACGAGGGAGGAGGGAAGACGACGACGACAACGACGACGACGACGGTGACGAAATAGGAGGGACGACGACGAGACGCCGACGACGGACGACGACGACGACGACGTGGGAGGAGGAGGGAGGACGACCACAGCGACAACGACGACGGAAACGACCACGACGCCAAAGAAAACGACGACGACGAACACGAAAAAAACCAAAGGACGACGTAGGCGACGACGACGACGACGCGGGAGGAGGGAGGACGGCGACGACGACGACGACGACGACGACGACGACGCAAGAGCGCGCGCGCACGCTTTGTTGAAAATCCGTGTTGCGAAACCTTGGGTGTTTGTAGGTTTTTTGGACGCACGATTTTGAAATCCTTCCGAAACCGATGGTGTTTGAAGGTTTTCGGCATACGCCCGCGACGACGCGCGCGTCCGCACTTCGTCCCATTTGTTGCAAAGGATTCTCGCGACGGCACACGCGCAAAGGCGTTCGACAGATTTCGACATGCGCGCGCGCGAAGCCCGTTTGGTAGCATTGTGTGAAAACAAAACCTATGGTTTTCTTGAGATTTCGCGAGAGCTCGCGCGTAAGCTTTTTTAGCAATCAGTGTTGCAAAACGCAGTGTTTTTGCATGTTGTTCGGAAACTCGATTGCGACATCCCTCCGGCACCCAAGGTTTTTGAAGGATTTCGGCATGCGCGCGCGACGACGCGCGCGCGCGCACTTCGTCCCATTTGTTGCAAGGGATTCGCGAAAAAATGTTATGTTAGAACAAAAAATGTCACCGCATAGTGTCTTTTGTTACAAGGGAACCTCAGGGGAGGGAGAACCAGGCCTAGCTGGGATGGTATGATTTCATTTTTAGGATGGACGAGTGGTCAGAATCATATATGATTTACATACCCGAAAAGGGAACGGATAAGTCCGGGGGGGGGGGGGGGTAGAGTCTATTCTCCTTTTAGAAAGGAGAATCTACGCGACAACGACGGCGGCGACGGACGGCACCGCCCGCAAAAGCCGCCACTCGCCCCGAACGGCGGCAACGGCGACGGCGACGGCGACGGCGGACGGCACCGCCCGCAAAAGCCACCAGTCACCCCGAGATGGTCAAGCCAAGTCAGAACCCTAGGTGCAAGCACTGTCTCGGGAATAGTGGCAGTGCGACATGGCATGCGATGATATCCATTGAAATTCTGCGCAATGCAATCGCACGCGACCCAGGTGTGCCAGGCGGTGCTACACATGGCTATGCGATGCGGGCATGCTGCGCTATGCAGTAGTTCGCTACGCGGCACTGTGGTTTTTTGAATCGACACGGTCGTCTGATGTTTGTGCCGACGTAACGCAACGCATGCGTTCATATTGCCATTGCTATTGCCACGCTTTGCGATGTTTTATGTTCTGGGGCGCCGTTTCATAACACAACACAGCATGGCACATCTCACCATGACACTGCATCGCATAGCACAATACATCATCCAACGCGCACCTAGGAGCTCGCTGCCCTGAACGCCCAGTTGAAGGCCCACGGCGTTCCAGGCCCCCCCCCCCCCCGGCCACAGGAAGGGCCGACGCCATCGAGAAGGCGAAGGTCACGCACGCGAGCTGGATGATCATGAACACATACAAGAAGGTCAAGGACCCTTCGGCGATGGCCGTCGCAGTGGCGAAGGTGCATATGGAGTTAACCTCCGAACTCGGCGGGAAGATGAATCGGCTCCACGATGACGCCCAGAAGATCGGCCCGCTGGTCTAGGCGTCTCAGGCTGCCCCCCCGTGCGCCGCCCAGCCTCTCAAACGCGCTGGTTTTGTTGTTTTGTTTGCCAGCCGGCATCGGCGCCCCAGGCACGCCGGCGTCGGCATCTCAAGGCCGCCCGCTCGCGAATGCCCCGCTGCCTCGCTCTCTCAGGGGGGCCACCGAGACGGAGAGAAACCGCGCATCCCCACGGCAAACGCACCCCCAGGAGCCCCCCCCCGCAAGCACTTGCATTGTTGCCCTGTCACGACTGCGCGGTTTCGAGCGCATCTCGCGTCTATCGGGCGACGGAGATGACGTCGCCCACGGGGCGCGCAGGCGCCGAACCGACATGGCCTGCGCGGTCGCAGAATGTTGGGCGTTGAATGCGCGGGCGCCTCCACCTGCCCGCCCCTCTGCTCGCGCCCCTCCT